GCAGGAGAGACGCTCTATACGTTAGTGTCGCTGTGCGTGGGACGTGGCTGCTGAGCACGGATTACACGGCCCCGCTCTCCTCCGCGACAAGATCCCACTTCGTTCCGAGTATGGCCTCATTCTGCAAAGCGCTTCCAGAGATTTCTTTCGCGCGAAAGAGTATTTACATAAACATGAGCTGTTGTTGATCAACGCTGGAATCAATTTGATTTGAACTGATTTGCATGAGCGGGGATTGGAGTGAGAGCACTCCTCGCAGGAGGTGGGAGGTTGGGGGAGGATAAGATTCTCCTCGGGCTGATAATTCAGTTCATATCAAATCGATTCCAAACTGGCTTCATCAACAAGGGCTAAAACCTCCAGCTCTTGACCCTGTACCAAACCACAACAGCCAACACCGTTTAGTTATTTCAACACCAACAAACAGCCTGACTTGCAGCTTCATTTAAAATGACCTCCCCCCCACCCCTCCCTCCCTGATCGGGTTAGAGCACTCGCCTCGCAAGCGCGAGGACCTGGGTTTGACTCCCGGGCAGGGCGAAACATTAAGCAAGTTTCCTTACTCCACACGCCTCTGGTTACCTAGCAGTAAGTTGGAACCTGGTTGTTAGTTGGTTGGTGGATGGCTTTCCAGGGGTAATAATCCCTCCAAAAAAATAATAACTTGATCAGTCAATCCACGACTGTGTGTGGGACGCTGCTGTGAGCAATTGGCTGCCGCGTTCGCCCACAAATATACAGTCAATTCACTTTACAGTGTGTTCTGTGAAGCGCTTTGGGACGTCCTCCCATCGTGAAAAGCGCTATATCAAATGCAAGGATTATTATTATTATTATAATAACTGACGTCAACATACACTGTGATTGACCGGCATTTAACACGAAAATATGAGCCATGTATCAGTGCTCCCTCTCAAGTCAGTGCTTCCGCACGTCAGAACCATCAGCCGTGCACCAGATGTGAGTGATGAATGTTGACGCTTTGCTATCGATTGCTCGGAGCGGGTTGGGACCAGGCAACGCAGCACTAGACAGAGGACACGCGATGTCACATGCAGGCAGGAGCTCGCAGCCGGTCAGCAAACCGAGGGAGCCAGGGAAAGATGCTGTCAGACGAGGACAAGCTGGCTTCTCTTGCCCAGTTTGTGTTGGACGGTTACAGTTCGGGTGACTCGAATGAACACGAGTCCATGGTTTCTTCTCTCTATCTTTACAGCTGAGAGTCTGAGACTGAGGGCGAGACAGGGTCTAAATCCCTGACTTGTCCAGTGCCTCGGGACATCCTCCCGACGTGAAAGACACTGTGCAAATGTAATTTGTTGTTATTGTTGTGGGAGGACGTATAAATAACAAAAGAGTGTTACAAAAACAAAAATTTGTCCAACAAACACACAGTCGATTCACTTGGCAGTGTATCCTGTGAAGCGCTTTGAGACGTCTCGAAGACGTGATGAGGCGCTGTATCGAATGCCAGGATTGTTATTGTTATTATTATTATTTTAAATCACTTTGATTTAAACCTTCAAACTGAACTGCAGCCAACAGCAGCTGCTGAGCCGGGGGTTTCAGGGACGGGTTTTGACGTGCGGATCACGAGACAAGATTTAATCAGTGTTGTTTGTTACATGTCAACCAAAGACATTAGCATTGAATAAACCACAGAACAGTAATAATAATACTCTTTCCATTTAATACGGCGCCTTATCATGTTCGTTGAGGCCTCTCAAAACGCTTCCCAGAATATACTGTGAAGTGTAGTGACTGTGTGTTTTTGTGGGCGAAACGCGGCAGCCAAGTGCGCACAGGAGCGTCCCACAAACTGTCATGGATTGAGTGACCAAATTAGAGTAGGGTCTACAGCAACAGGAACAGTCCTTACATTTTACACAGCGCCTTTCCTGGCAGAACGGCATCTCAAAGCGCTTCGCAGGACATCGTGTAAGGTGTAGTGACTGTGCGTTTTGTGGGCGAACAAGACCCAAATGGGTGACTCCCTCTGGTCTGGGGTGGGGGCAACAGATGCCGTTTCAGCGGAGCCTGATAACAGTGGTGTTATCTCTGGTCCTCGAAGCTTTATAACTTAATCCTGTTTCTTAGTGAAATAATTACGTTCGCTGCATGTTAATGCCCGCAACTCGTTCCGAATGTTTTGTTCCGAGTGCTAATCGCTTAATGATGAATTTGCAACCGGAGGTTCTGAGATGTTGTCGGGTTTCTCTGGAGCTCGCGCCCTAATCCCTGAACAAGCAAACAAATAGCGCGGCTGGAACCAGGGGAGGCAGGAGGAGAGCAGTACATTCCCAACGTTTCATCAGAAGATGCAGCGGGGAGCAGGGAGACAAAGCCAGAGCTGGTGTGCTCCCCAGCTGAGCTACTGATTTGCCTTAAACGACTGCGAGGAAGTCCTGAGGAGAGTTTATTTTTCTTTGCTCAGCCGGGTGTCTGACACATGCGGAAACCCATCACTGCGGCTTAAGAGTCTACAGACCCGACTGAGAATTTCCACATATGTGCGCCACCTACTCATGGCAATTTCCCTGCGTCTCGAATGGAACGGGCACGCACACTGTCTCTCTCTCTCTCTCTCTCTCTCTCTCCCTCGGGATGGAAGCACCCTGCTTACCTAATTCCGGAGAGTCTTAGGCTCAGGTTGGAGAGAGCCAGAGAGTGCGTTGGGGGAACTGCTGGAGTCTAACCAGCTCTAACTGGACGAGTCCCACCAACATGGGGCTTGAACCTTCTGACCCAGAAACAAGAACTGTTGTGGAGGAAGGATGGGGGCAGAAGGGAGGACAATCACTCATAGGAACAGGAGGAGGCCATTCAGCCCCTCGAGCCTGTTCCTCCATTCTATTAGATCATAGCTGATCTGTACCTCGATTCCAATTACCCGGCTTCGCCCCACTTATTTAATATAGGGTTTACAAAGCAGAAAGCTGGGGTCAAGCCTTACGGCCCTCAGCCTTGAGATACCCAAAAGGGAGACAAATAGACAGACCGACCGCCAAAGCCTAAATCAGTTCAAAAACCCACCGCAAAGAGACCGAGTGATCGCAGGACTCTTAATTAAATAAGCTAAATAAACAGGTCGGTATTTGCTGACCATTACACAGAAATGAACTTCCCCAAACCTGGGTAAACTGTGGAGACTGGGTATAGTTTGCTGACAATGGTTTCTCTCTCTCTCTCTCTCTCCGCTCTGAGAGTTAATAATAAAGTGCCACACTCCCCCCCCACCCGACACACACACACCACTGGGTCCCTTTGTGATTCCAGCCCACGCGCCTCTCACACACTGACCGACAAAAACACACACTCCCCCACTTGCGCCTCAGTGTTTGTCAAGATGACCATGTGCTTTGTGGCAGCTCTGGTTAACCCCCACCCCAATATACACACACACTGCGCCCCCTCCTCCCGCACACACACACACACTGCCCCGCCATATACACACACTGCCCCCCCCCCAATAAACACACACACTCAGACAGTTTCGAAGGCGTGATAAGGCGCTGTATCAAATGCAAGGATTATTATTATTATTATTATTATTATTATTATTATTATCAACAGAAGGTCTCCCCACACTGTACATTCCACGGAGCCCTGAGACGCGCCTCATCCCAGGCAGTGGTTGCCCCTTGCAGTGAGTTTGGGGGGGAATTCTCTACCCCCTTACCCTCAAAACCCACCCCACCCCACATACACCTCCACAGCCTCCTGTAAACTCTCTCTCTGCCCCCCCCCCCCCCCCACACACACACACACACACACACTTTCCCCCCTCTCTCTGTGCATTGCAAGTCAAACATCTGTGTGTTAAAAAAAACACATCTTTAACTTTCTTTCTCAGTTTGGGGATTTTTAACAGTATTTTTTTTTACAGTCTCTCTCCCCCTCCCCTCTTTCTCTCTCCCCCTCCCCTCTTTCTCTCTCCCCCTCCCCTCTTTCTCTCTCCCCCTCCCCTCTTTCTCTCCTCTCTCTCCCTCCCCCACACGTCTCATAGAAAACTACACTAAATAAAGAAAAGTGCTCTCTTTCTCTCTCTCTCATTCTTTGTGAGAAGGGCTGAATCAGCCCAGTCCTGTCCTGTGTCGGAATAAAACTCCCACAGCTCTGCTCTCAGTCCAGACTCCTGTTGCCCCTCTCTCCCCCCTCTCTCCCCCTCTGCCTCTCCCATTCTCTCTCTCTCTCTCTCTCCCCCCTCTGTCCCCCCCCAAAAAAAAACAACACACAATAACAATTACAAACTCATTTTAACAGATAAGAAAACCAACGGAATAAATATTAAATTGCTATAGTATATATATATAAACAATTGTATGGCGTTAGTCTCGATTCAAGGGGGGGGTGAGGGGACAGAGAGGGGGGAACAGAGAGGGGGGGAGAGGGACAGGGAGAGGGGAGGGGACAGGGAGAGAGGGACGGGGGGGGAGAGGGACAGGGAGAGGGAGAGGGGACAGGGAGAGGGGAGAGGGAGAGGGGAGGGACAGGGAGAGGAGGGAGAGGGGAGGAGGGACAGGGAGAGGGAGGGGACAGGGAGAGGGGGGGAGAGGGGACGGAGGGGGGAGGGAGAGGGGAGGGGGAGGGAGAGGGACAGGGAGAGGGGAGGGGGGGAGAGGGGACAGGGAGAGGGGGAGGGGGGGAGAGGGGAGAGGGACAGGGAGAGGGGAGAGGGACAGGGAGAGGGAGAGGGGAGAGGGAGAGGGAAGGGGGAGGGGAGAGGGACAGGGAGAGGGGAGAGGGACAGGGAGAGGGGACAGGGAGAGGGGAGAGGGAGAGGGAGAGGGACAGGGAGAGGGGAGAGGGACAGGGAGAGGGGAGAGGGACAGGGAGAGGGGAGGGACAGGGAGAGGGGGAGAGGGAGAGGGGAGAGGGGACAGGGGAGGGGGAGAGGGACAGGGAGGGGGAGAGGGACAGGGAGAGGGGAGAGGGACAGGGAGAGGGGAGAGGGAGAGGGAGAGGGAGGAGGGGAGAGGGGAGAGGGACGGAGTCCTTACCCAGAGCTGAGTTAATGATGAGAGGCAGGAGAACAGGCAAAGCACCACCAGCCCAAACCATGGCGATCTCTCTCTGTCTGTGTCCCTGTGTCTTTCTCTGTGTCTCTCTCTGTGTCTCTCTCTGTCTCTGTGTCTCTCTGTGTGTCCCTGTCTGTGTCTCTCTCTGTGTCCCTGTCTCTGTGTCTCTCTCTGTCTCTGTGTCTCTCTGTGTCTCTCTCTGTGTCTCTGTCTCTCTCTGTGTGTCTCTCTGTCTCTTTGTGTCTCTGTCTCTCTGTGTCTCTCTGTCTCTCTCTGTGTCTCTGTCTCTCTCTCTGTGTCTCTCTGTCTCTCTCTGTGTCTCTGTCTCTCTCTCTGTGTCTCTCTGTGTGTCTCTGTCTCTCTCTGTCTCTCTCTCTCTCTGTGTCTCTCTCTCTCTCTGTGTCTCTGTGTCTCTCTCTGTGTCTCTCTGTGGGAGTGAGAGGGGATGTGAGCAGCAAAATAATTAATCTGGAAAATGGTTTATAATTCTCCTTCCGAACCCTCTGGTCCGGGACTGGGATCCGGTCCCGAAATACAGCCACAGCATCACATCCCAACACAGCAGTGTCTGTCTGTCTGTCTGTCTGTCTGTCTGTGGGTCTCTCTGTCTGTCTGTCTATGTGTGTGTGTGTCCCCCTCTGTCTCTCTCTGTGTGTGTGTGTGTGTGTGTCCCTCAGTGTAATGGACACGCGGCTGTACTGCCTCTTTCTCTACGTCTCCTCTCTCTCTCTCTCTCTATCCCTCTCTTCCTTTCTTTATCCCTCTCTCTCTCTCTCTCCCTTTTCCTGTCTGTCCTTCTCTTTCTTTCCTTTTCTCACTATCCTCTCTCTCTCTCAATCCCCTTCTTTCTCTCCCATCCTCCCTCCCTCTCTCCTCTCGCTCTCCCTTCACCCTTTCTGTCTATCCTTCTCTTTCTCTCCTTCCCCCTCTCTCCCCCTCCCCCCCTCTCTCTCCCCCTCCCCTCTCTCCCCCTCTCTCCCCCCTCTCTCCCCCTCCCCTCTCTCCCCCTCCCCCCTCTCCCTCTCTCCCTCTCCCCCTCTCTCCCTCTCTCTCCGGAGTGCAGATCAGTGGGAATGTGCTCCACGTTTCCCTGTGTCCCATTCACCATCCAATCCATCGTCATTCATTCACACATTCTCTCCAGTCCCCCCCTGTCCCCCCCAGTCCCCCCAGTCCCCCCCAGTACCCCAGTCCCCCCCAGTACCCCAGTCCCCCCCAGTCCCCCCAGTCCCCAGTCCCCCCCAGTCCCCAGTCCCCCCCAGTCCCCAGTCCCCCCCAGTCCCCCAGTCCCCCCCAGTCCCCCAGTCCCCCCAGTACCCCAGTCCCCCCCAGTACCCCAGTCCCCCCCAGTACCCCAGTCCCCCCCTGTCCCCCAGTCCCCGTTACCCCAGTCCCCCCAGGCCCCCCCAGTACCCCTGTCCCCCAGTCACCCCAGGCCCCCCCAGTACCCTGTCCCCCAGTCCCCCCCAGTCCCCAGGCCCCCCAGTACCCCAGTCCCCCGCAGTCCCCCAGTCCCCAGCCGTACCCCTGTCCCCCCCAGTCCCCCCCAGTACCCCTGTCCCCCAGTCCCCCCAGTACCCCAGTCCCCCCCAGTCCCCAGTCCCCCCCAGTACCCCTGTCCCCCAGACCCCCCAGTACCCCAGTCCCCCCAATCCCCAGTCCCCCTGTCCCCCCAGTCTCCCCCCCAGTCCCCCAGTCCCCCCCCAGTCCCCCTCAACACACACACACAGCCCCAACACACACACACACACACAGCCCCAACACACACACACACACACACACAGCCCCAACACACACACAGCCCTGACTCACACACACACCCACACTCGCAAAATGCTAAATAATCCTTAAAATGATGTACCCCAAAACCAAACCACCCCGCAGTGTCCCATCCCAGTCGTGAAGCAAGTAATCCTTTCAAAAATAATCCTAATAACTTTGGTCACTCAATCCACGGCTGTTTGTGGGAGACGCTGCTGTGCGCAATCGGCTGCCGCGTTTCGCCCACAAACTATACAATCCAATTCATTTCGCAGCGTATCCTGTGAAGCGCTTTGAGACGTCTCGAAGACGTCAAACGTGAGGACTATTATTCTTTATTACCATTATTAAAGCGATAAAGCCAAAAATTAAATAAGAATGATCAACCGAGAAAGTTTGGGTAGAGGAAGGAAGGTTCTGGGGGGAGAGAGAGAGAGAGAGAGAGAGGGGGGCAGTGGAGGAGAGAGAGAGTCGTGAGAGACGGTGGGAAAGACAGTGAGACACGCTTCGAAGTAACAAAAACACATGTCGGCCCAGCTGTTTCAAAACTGAACGCTTCTCTTCTGGTTAACATCAAAGAGCTGAGCCGGGAGCGGTGAGCTGAGGGCGAGGCTGAGCTCTCAGTTTCACGCACAGCGGAATCACGACAGAGACAAACAACGTGCCTTTTTATAGCGTCTTATCACATCGAAATGCCTCAAAGTGTAACCTTCTCTCGCTCACAGCCGGGTCCTGCAATCAGCCGCAAAGCGGATAAACACATTTATCCGGGGATCGCCGGCCAGGACACAGGGTTACGGAATCTTTAAGAGTCATCTGAACCGACACAATGGCCTCAATTGATTAATAATAATATAATATTGATAATAATAATCCTTGCATCTGATATAGCACCTTATCACGTCTTCGAGGGGTCTCAAAGCCCTTCATGGAATATACGTTATCATGAATTGACTGTGTATTTTGTGGGCGAAACGCGCACAGCCAATTGCGCACAGCAGCGTCCCACACACAGTCGTGGAATGAGGGACCAAATTATTATTAGTTTGAAGGGACTAATACTCCCGGAAAAGCCATCCGCCAATCGACTAACAACCGGGTTCCAATTTAATGGCAGGTAAACGGAGGCGCGTGGTGTAAGGAAACACGGCCAACGTTTCGCCCTGCCTGGGAAGCGAACCCAGGTCCTCTCGTTTGCGAGACGAGCGCTCTAACCACTGAGCTCAGGAGAGAGAGAGAGAGAGAGAGAGAGAGGAGGACATTTGAGACTGAATAAAATCCTGCAGATCTTTTCCCCGATTGTTAGTGAGTGACTGGCAGCCGAGACACAGAGCGAAAGCAGCCGAGCTCCCCTTTTGAGTCGAACCTTTTATCACTGTGTCTTTGGTTGGGATCAGCGGGGATTGGATAAAAAACTAAATAATTTACAAGGGTGTATTTGTGATATAAAATATTTCAAGTGGGGGGGGGAAAAAAAATTCCGATCTTTACAGAAATAAATATCCCCAGGCGTCTTTAACCAGCTGGCCGTTTTATTTATTTATCACTTTTAAATATTAATTCATGTCTCTTTGCGGAGATGTTATATATTGATAATAATTAGGTAATTATTTCGGTAATGTAGCTGGTAAGAGTCTGATGCGTTCTGGGAGTGCAAATATACCGTTAACATCCATTCCTGGCAAGTTATGGCCAGTTCAGAGCAGAGGTTTGTGCCAGAATAGAAGTCACCGGGATTTCCTTTCAGAATACCCATCGACAGACAATCTTCTCATTACACCATTGAGCTGTTTCTGCCTCAACCACCCGTCCTGGTAACTCATTCCAGCTGTTTGCTTTTGGCCGACCGAGCGTCTAACACACGCAGAAGCCCATCACCGTGCTTCAAGACATCGGTGCCCGTGGGACAGAAGTGGCCCTCAGAGCCGTCAAAAACTGCCCCAACCCCCACGCCCCCACTCCCCGCCCCCACCCCCACCCCTCACATCAGCACCAGTCTAAGTAAGTCCTTGTTCGATCGGTTACAGGGTTTTCTTTTTTCTTTTTGATTTTCTCAATGATACTAACCCTGGCATTTGATATCGCGCCTTATATCACGTGTTCGAGGCGTCTCAAAGCCCTTCACAGGATATACGGTAAGTGAACTGCCCGTGTATTTTGTGGGCGAAATGGCTCACTTAGCAGTTTGGAACTTTCCCGGTGTCTGGAATGGAATACGCACTCTCTCTTCACGGAGGGACGCACCTTGCTTACCTGATGCCGGAGAGTATCTGGGCACAGGTTGGTGAGAGCCAAGGCTTAGGGACACTGTGGAACTCTCCCCAAACCAGGGGCAGAGAAGCATTAAATTGAATTAATAATTGGACACGTTATTTTTTTTTAAAAAAGGCGGTATTTTAACGAGCAGCGAGGTCTCCCTGAACAGGGGAGGGTGAGAGGAGACCTGAGAGAGGGTTTTCAAATTATAATTTAAAGAAAATTATTTCCATTGGAAGGTGAGTCAGTAAATGAAGGGTCTTTTCAGGGATTTACTGTGGGAGCAGAGGGAGAGGGTTTGAAGAATTTGTTTACGCAGAGAGTTGTTAAATAAAAATAATAATCCTTGCATTTAGCGTCTTATCACGTCTTCGAGACGTCTCAAAGCGCTTCGCAGAATATACTGTGAAGTGAATTGACTGTATATTTACCTGAAAAGGATAAATAAAAAAAAAGGTGTGTGCGCGAGTGTGTCTGCGTTTGCGTATGTGTGTTTTGGGGTCTATGCGTCTCTATATTTGTGTGTGTGTGTGTTTTTTTGGGTTGGGGGTGGGGATTGTTGGCCAGGACACTGAGATAGAAAAACTCCCTTCTCTTTTCCAACTGTACAGTGGATCTTTAACATCCATCTGAACGAGCAGAGACAGGGCTCAGTTTAACATCACCTTAAGGACAGCACCTTCTACACTGCAGCTCTGCCCTGTACCCGAGGATCAGTTTGGCCTGCGAGCAAATGTCCCAACAGAAAGCTTGAACCTTCTGACCCGGAGGTGAGAGAGAGAGAGAGAGAGAGAGGGAGCGCGACTGACTGAGCCTCGCTGACATCCGAGATTTCTTCTCTCGAGTGACAGCCATTTGACTCGTTTACATGGAGTCCGTCATCGAGGTTTCTCAGTCCAGTCGGAATGCACAGACCAATTCTCACCCTGACTTGGAACAGCCGAGCTGCTGACAGACGACTTAAGTTGATGAAGGACGTACTGACTGATGCCTCGTTTATTCTTGAAGCTGGAAGTCACTCTCACTTCGACCCCGTGTGTGTGTGTGTAGCTGCCCGTTTG